ACCTTATTTTAACTAATTATAAGAGTATCATTGTTAACATTACATTTGACAAATTTCTTAATAATGTTCGTGTCTCTAATGGAGATCCGATGACTACAGCCTTTTCCAAAATTGAGAATTCAAAAATGATCAATGGCCATGATTTGGTGCAACACAGTCCATAGTAAAGATAAATTCTGGTGTAATGAATTTCTGACATGTTGTAGAAATGGAAGGAAAGAGATTAATTATTTCACAAAATCGAGGAAGTTATTGAAATATTGCTGAGTGGTTTAGTTTAGTTGAGGAAAATTAGAATCAATTCTAATAAGCCTAATTTGAGGGATTTTTGATAATTAGAGTTCTATTTATAGTAACTAAATGAGACATAGCATAAATCTGTTTTGCAAGAAAGAATTCAAAACTATTAAGATTTCTTTGATTTAGTCAAGCATGACAATAGGGAAGTCAAAGAAAATCATGATTAGATCAAATTTTTAGCAACAGTTTTAATTATAAAGACCCATAAATACAAAATTTCAAGACAAAGTTTAATAAGCCCACCTTCTCAACAACATCTACATTTTAATAGATTTTAACTCAAGGTTGGTTTAGTTTATAGATAGCTTCTATAGTGACTTTGCAACTTTTTTTATTAGTGTAAAAGAGGTTCAACTCCTTCAATGGGTTCTTTATTTTTGTTATTTTTGATTAAGTTAGCCTCAATAGTTAAATTTAAAAGATTAATATTTATCCGCCTTACTTCTTAAAAATTAGAAAGAAATTTATTCCAAAACTACATAGTTTTAATAAAGTACTACAGGGAATGATAAAAAACACTCTAATTCATACTTTAAAAATATGATATGTTAGTTTTTATCAATGAAAATTTATTTAATGATGTAATTTTGAAATGATTTTCCTCCTAATCTTTCGAAGGTAAGGCAAATAAATACTATTCCATAAATTTAATATAATTGTTCTTCTTTTGCCAACGAACTTCGTACTTTTATTAGTAATTTACATTTCTATCTAATTACCTAAATTTAGTTTCTACTTTTTTAGTAAATTTATGTTTCAACCTCTAGTTGTAATTTTTCTTAAGATTTCAAATAAAGATCTTAGTTTCATTTCATTTGTGTCATTAGCTTGTTTTTTATATTTCTACCAACTTCAATTTAAGCTAAGTTTTTTGTTTTATTACATTTCCGATGGTATTCTTAGTTTCTAATTCTAACTAAATTTTAAGATTTCTATCACTCTTTTTAGCTTAATGTTCTCTTGATTAATGTTCTCTCATTACCTTAGTCTTAAATCATCATTTATTTCTGTCATGCAGTCCTTCTTCCTGTTTTTTTGAACCTTTATGCAAAAATGCACCATCAATCCTGCGACAATCGTTTGGTCAAGGTATTATTGGCACAATCATTCAATCAAATAGCATTCTTTTGTTGATTTTTAAACAATTTCCCACACTTGGAAAAAGAGAAAGTTGCTAGAAATTCTTTTTTCTTACTTTGAGTAAAGCCAGTGACATGCTTGAGATCTGCCACAAGTGAATGTGTTTATATTCAATTCAATCCAATTGATCTAATCCAAACTGACATGATCTAATCCAAACTTATCCAATCTAATTAAAAAAGAAAACCAAACCAAACTAATATAAAATTAGGTTGGTTTGCATTATAAAAATTTAAAATTAACATAATTGGTTTGTTTGTGGTTTCACCTTCAAATTGCCTGAAACACCTGATTATAAGATAAAACTCGATTATAATTTAATTTAATTAAATAATATAATATATTTTTTGTAGTATTTTAAATTTTCTTTTTCTTGTTTCACAAGATAATAACTTCGTTAATTTAATTTAAAAAATAAAAATAGAGCATCCCCATATTGCCTAATTTATTTTTCCCTCTTAATCATTCACTCTAGTCCTAATTCTAAATTTCCAATTTGTCTACAACTCTACCCCTCAGATTTGGTCTACAACTTTACTTTTAGAACCCTAAATTTTTAATTTGTTTCTGGAAAAGTATTTTATTTTTCCTAACTAAGCCTTAAAGATGTATCATTTTAGAAATCTTAAAACTTCATAATAGACTTAGTTTTGATATTATATTATCCTTAGATGTTTGGTTGAGAAATTTTAAATTTTGATTATGAATGCTTCTAATCAATTCTAGTGATATTCATTTTAAATTTTATTCACTTTAAACAAAGTTTAAAAAATGGGATCAACTCATTGGTGCATTAAGAAAAAAAAACTAGTTTTAATTTTTAAAAATTACTTGTATTGTACTTGAAACATGGAGTTATCTTTTATTATCCTTGATGTCTTTGATGATGTAATTAAAAAGAATTTT